ATAAATTTTTTTTTCATTTATTTATATTTATTTTTTAAATATAAATGAAAAATTTATCTTTATTTTTTAAGTATAAATGATTCATTTATATTTATTTTCCAAAGTAACACTAAATTAACACCCCTAGATATCATACCATTTTGTTTCTTTGTTCTTTATCAATAGCCTTGCTTTATTTTATGCGACCTCTCTTCTCTTTCTATGACGGAAAACGTTCTGAGAAAAAAAACAATTATTCACTGTATATTCTTCTTGAGTTATATAGTATATATGAAGTTGAGTTGTCCCAAATTTTAAGCTTTTTAGCTACAACCAGTTCTAACCACAAAAAACACCTCTGGCACTTGAAGCGATACAGTTTCTGAAAGTAGACACTTCAGGCTATCTTCAGAATGGATTATCTCGCTTTTTCCTCTGAAAATCGACTTTTCGGAATGCGGAGGCTATTAATATTGGATATCTCGACTGCTCAAACAATCTGTCTTCAGTTGTATGAGTTTTGAAAATGATCCCATACATCTGGTGAACCGTTACTTAGTCTGATTTCATCTATACATTGCAAACAATGGACTATATCAATACGTGCAAGATAGCAACGTGAAAGGAAGTAACTGCCTATAGATCTATAAATATGGCTTCTTTTACGCAAACTGCAAAAAATATTCTTCTGCTGTCTTGTTCTCACCCATCCTCAACATCAGTCTCCGGAATGCATTTAAATCATTTGATTCACCTAGCTTTTGCACATTCTTCATCGGATTCCAATGAATTATGATTAACTTGTCGAAATCCTTGTAGTAAATGATATTTGATGAAGACATATGTGATAAAATGAATGAAATGTTTCTTCATTCCCGAGATTCTTCGCCATTCGACTACTCAGTCTTCAGATCATTACAAATTCTTAAAAACTTTTTTTCGACAAAAAGTTCCTCAGGTGGACCCTTTCCCTGAATTTTTGTCAAAAAATGTTTTATTTGTAAAACTAACAAACTATACATCATTCGACGTAATTTTTCACGGTGATTCCCAATATGGCTTTATGTTATGGAAAAAGTGCTCATGTAATTAGAAGGTCTGTTCAGGCTTAGCGCTTTGTAGCGCTGTCATTGCACTGAGGTTATCTCATGTCGGACCGTAGTAATCTAGACTACTAGACCTTTTTTCGTTTCGTACAAGATGCAAAATGAGTACCTTCTATTATCAGGAGATGCAATAGGTTGTGCTGATTCCGAATATGTGCTTTGGATAGGGTAAATTGCACGCCTGTACATAGAAATAAGAATCTTTGCAGGTGTGTCATATTTGACGGTGTTTTTTGTGAATGTTCATAAGTTAACTTACTCATCGAAGGAGTTCATTACTAGTCGATCATTATACACCATTCAATAGCGCTTTTCAAGGACTACTTTTACTACTGTTCGAATCCAAAAAAGCTCACTTGTCGATTTTTGCCCAAATTTCCGCCTGAATGCTCACTATGCTGCGTCCTTTCGGAAACTTGTTTTAATGCATGTAAAGGCGTTGGTTATGTGATTGCAATACTTCAAACGCAATAAGAATCTACATTTTAACGCCTTAGGATTTTTTTGTGTTTTTCTAGTTACGAATAACGTTTGATTCAAGTGTCGAGGTTATTCTCTTTCCAAAATACTAGCAGACAGATGGCGCTTCATCCTTGACCCTTATCTGCTGTTGCTTCGGAAAGAAAACAACCTCGACACTTGATTGAAACATTATTCTTACCTGGAAGAATAAAGAAAAGTTTCTGGAAAGTTAGAGCTCATTCCTTCTGGCGCTCAGAAAGGCGACTTTTATTCCCACTTAACATGTAGACAGTTTTTCCCAAAGAAAAAGCGCAACGTATTATAAAACGGAGTTTCGAAAAACGCTTTTACTGTTGTCAAAATAATATCGTCGATAAATGCTTATGCATCTTACACGATACACAGTAGAGAGCAGATCTAGAGTTTATGAATAGTCATGATCTTTCCATTAACAAATAAACTCTTACTCATTTCATTACCCAACTGTTTGTTTTAACCTTTTTCCCTTCTGAATGTTTAATGATCTGATAAATGTTAATAGTTTATCCCAATAAAGCAGGATTTTGCTAAGAAGGATGCACCATAGATGTAAATCATATACCTGTTTTGTTGCATTTTGTTTGTGTGTTGTACCCGTTCTGATTTCGATATACCTGTATGTGCGACAGCAAAATAAAATGTCCAGGGGTGTGCCCGAGCATCCTCCCTGACTACGGGCCTGATTCCATCCTAGAATCCATCGTTTACTTTCTATATCTGTTAATTTTGTCCTTGAAAAATGAATTATATATTTACATTTGTTTTTGAAAATGGTAAATGATAGATCAAACATTTATTATTTACTCTGAAACCAGTCAATGAATCATTTCTGTTTCTTACAGAACGTAAAGAGTACAGTGACACTCTTAAACTCGATATAAATACTTCTTCTAGCAAGAAAAGATGCTTTCACTCTTCTCCAGAGTTTTTTTATTTTTATGTCAAAAGTTCTCGAATACATGTTATATTTTCAGTTTCATTAAAAGAAATCGGCTAATAAATCATATAAATCAAATATCATTTTATAATTTTGCGATTTCTTGAAAGTAAACACCCATCAATTTCATCTACAAGGAAAAGCAAGACAGAAGGTTAGTCATTAATTTATATTTACTTCTTCAGAGTCTCAGTTTGCCTTAAATGAGATCTTTTATATTAGTAAACTTGGCACAGAGTTGTTGAGCTTATGAAAAACAAGTGCATGAGAGATACTCAAAACTGATTCTCCGTTAATGAAACCAAACTTTGCTCTTTTCTTTTTGAGTTAAAAGAAGAAAAATTTTACATCTTGGAAAAAACCTACTGTCTGCTTGAAAGAATTAAAAAGATAGAACATGGAGTTTTAATTTTTTGCATCACTTTTGATAGAAATGAGACGGAGATCGTCGATTTTTAGCTGTCGGCAGTGGATAGACGGGCCCATCTTCCACAAGCAAGACAATTTTCTGAGTGTTTTTCTGAAATAGGATTTTCGGATGATCTTTTGAAAAGCGACTTATACATCAAAAGCTTCTAATAGAAATATTTTAGGTTTTTTCATGCATAGATAGTGTCCTCTTCAAAGCAAGAACTAAGCAACTTCTGAACTTTTTGTGCTTGAAGTGTGCCATCGCACTTTGTGGGAGTCCTACGATCGATATTCTTCTAGGCGTGGTGATTCCAAAAGTGAATGGAAACATAGATTATATGACTATGAAGGTGTACTCTACTCTAACTACTCAATATGATTTTCTACTTTAGAGTATCAAAAACTATTTCTTCGAATAGCTTCTAGAAAGTCTTGTTGAAACTAAAGTATTTTTTGTTAATTTTTAAACGTTCTGTGAATTCCGTGATATAGTACAGATCAAAGGTGGGCGATGGACGAGGATCCTCGCGAAGTCTCGCGATTCTTCACGAGACAGCCCCGTGAGGAAGATTTTTTGAAAGTCTGGCGAGGTACGGGGTGATGACGAGGCAGGAAGTTTGTGAGGCGATCTCCGAGAGAGCGCAAAAGATAATCTGTGACTCACCTTTGGTGAAGATAAAACGGAGTACATATTCAATATTTCTATTAGAAATTTTTGACGTATAAGTCGCTTTTCAAAAGATCATGCCAAAATTCTATTTCAGAAAAATATTCAGAAAATTGTCTTGCTTGTGAAAAGATAGATCCATCTGTCCACTCTCGACAGGCAAAAGTCGAAGATCTCCATCTCATTTCTACTAAAAGTGATGCAAAAAATTAGTCCTATGCGCTGTCTTTTTAAACAGACAATAATCATCAGAAGTTATAGTTCCTCGTTTCTTGAATGGAGATTAATAAGAGCATTGCAGAATAAACTTAATAATTCGACTATAGACGTGAAAAATAAAAGTTGCCACTATGGACTTTCTCTCTGTCTCCTTCTCTCTATTAAAGGAGTTTCTACTAAGTTACTCTTTAAAAATTGAAAAAAATCAACAGAGGATCTTTCTCAGACGCGTCAAAGGAAACTGATGTCCTAAAGCTTGAGATCTAGAAAAAGCAAAAACAAAAAATATAAAAACGTAACTCAAGAACCCGAAATAAATAAATTTTTTTTCTACTCGATACAGAAAAAGAATTTTTCCTAACTTTCAATTTGATTTCTAGACTCTGTTTCACTCTTGCTTACCCCATTCATATAATTAAAAACATTAAATTTCTCATTTTGACTATGAGCTCCATCGTCTGACGAACCAACTGGTAACATTAAAACAGTTTTCCCTGTTAATTGTTCAAATGCTGATGTAATCGGAATTGATCCACCTTCTCGTGTCAAATGAGGTTTCATACCATGAACTGATATTAGAAATTAAACAAAATTAATATTATTAGATAAAATTGTATTGATTATCATCTATCTACCAACTATTGTTGCTTTTCTAGCAGCCACATATTGAGGATCATTCTCAAAATCAGCTAACCAATAAATACCACTTTTTTCTAATTTTACATTATATTTATTTGGCGAATGCCGTTTATCTTTCATCACAGAATCAACAAGATTATATTATTATTATACTATTTAAAAGTCCATTACGTGTATTGTACCATATATGTTCAATAATTAAAAAATTTTCAGCATTAGTTCCCGTACCAAAATATCTCGCTTACGATAATTGGATGTGGCTTATTTATAACGTTTCATAGCCGTATTAAAAATGGGAAAACTAATCGTACACCATCAACAGATGTCTTAGAAAAAATGACATTTATCGTCGATAAGCTTCACATTAGCAATCATACACGCCTCATATGCCAAAAGCAAACGAATCCGTACAATTATGAAGAAGTTCGAAAGATAAACACACAAACATTTTAACAGATGAATTCAAAATTGAAACATTACGAGAATGTTTGCTCATCATATTCATCACCCAAAAGCAACGTATTTTATTTATTATTGTTTAATCAGCTAAATTTAAATAAACTTGGCCTATCTTCATATGGAATATATGTTTAAATGTGTTGCTTTTAAATTTTCTGTATATCAGCTAGAAAAATACAAATAAATAACTTTGATATTCAGAGATACAAAACTCAACGCTAAACACTGGTAGACAATGTGGCCTCCTTTGTTGGGTGTGTCTGTAAACTTCAGATTCATATCGGTTTCATGCCCTGGGATCGAAAGATTCTTTGTTCTTTTTCCAACTAACCATGATCACAAATTTCATTCTACATATGTTTGAAAAAAGTCACAATTTTTGTTGCTTCGATCATGCTAAGTCTCATGGCAATATTTGTTTTGTAGAAAAGGCTTTAAAAACCTAGCAAACAGCGAGTTTTATGAAAATTCGGATATTGAGGCTGTTTCACCTAAGATTAAAAAATTCACTCTTCACTGAAAAAACATCAGAACGAGTTCAAAATTTCAGATTGTAGAGTGTTGAGGCTCTTCTGTACCCTGTTTATAGGAGATCCAGAAAGATTTTACAAAACTCTAAGGTTTTCCGAGAGAGTTTCTAGAAAACCCATTAACAAAAATATGCTTTCTCGATTTTTTGATCTAATAATCACGTTTACCGGACAGAATTAACAATATTCTGAAGTTTTGAACTCGTTCTGATGTTTTTTGAGTGAAGAGTGAATTTTTTAATCTTAGGTGAAACAGCCTCAATATC